TGGTTCCAGTTTAGAAACTCTCGGGGGTTGTCCGCATTTGCGTCGATCTAACTCAGCTGAATTGATGCCTCCTCAGGGTGCGTTATGTACTGTCCACCGTCGATGACACTCTGGGTCTCATGAGTGGTGCAGCCGTTTTCTCCAAACTAGACGCAAACTCGAAGTTATATCAAGTCAAACTGTCAAACGACTGCCAGTTTTAACCCCTTTCATACCCTACGGGAGTTACTGCTTTGAGCGTGTACCTTTCGCAATAACTTCTACACCCGAATATTGTTATAAAACAATATCAGAAACTTTGGCGGGTGCACCGGGCGTTGTAAAGCTGATGGATGATATCTTGATTTATGGTGTCACGAAGGCTGAGCATGACAAGCGCCTCCAGCAAACGCTTGAAACACTCGCAAAGGCGGGTGTAACTTTGAATAAATTCAAATGTCAATTCGGGGTCAAGGAAATGTTGTTTTTGGGTTGCTACGTCAGCAGGGTTGGAATACAATCCGGTCCGGACAAGGTGCCTGCTATCAAAAACCTAGAAACGCTTCGAAACTTAGCTGACGTGCGTAGGTTTCTTGGCATGGCTAATCACCTCGCACGATTTCTTCCGCATCTGTCGGAAGCGAGTGCTTCGTTGCGGCAACTACTGCAAAAAGGTCGCGAGTGAACCTGAGCTGCACTTGCTAACATAAAATAAATGATATGGTGAAACCGCTGTATGGCTAAATACGACCCGCGGTTCTCCACAATACTCTCCGCGGACGCCTCTGCATTTGGTCTAGGAGAAGTAGTGCTCCAAGAGCAAGAAAAGAAGGTCTTTAACACCGGCAGAGTCGTGTTACGCTTTGATTGAAAAGGAGGCTCTTGCCTTGACTTGGGTGGTTGAGAGGCTTGGGGGTTAGCTGAGAGGGTTCGAAGTGCAGTTTAAAATGGGTCACAAGCCGTTGGTGACGTTGCTGGAGAAACTCCACTTGACTTGCTTCCCTCGCGAGTTCAGCGATTTCTGATGAGGCTCACGCGCTTCAGTTTTAGCGTTGCCTACGTGCCTGGAGAAAAACATGTCGCTGCGGATACCCTATCGAGAGCAACCATCCAAGAGAAGCAAACACATCCGAGCGGAATGTTTTTATCTGATCTCACAGATTTCCTGGAAGGCTGCATTGCTAGCGTGGCCGAAGTTAGACACATTGAAAAAGTAAAGCAAGGCCGGGTGGCAGAAGGCATCTTTCAAATTCTAGTTTGGTTCTGTCGGAAAGGCTGGCCTAGCTACCAGTCGTTGCCGGTTCTCTTACAACCGTACTGGCAAGCAAGAGCGACGATCACGATTTGTAATGGGGACACACGGCGAATCATTCCTCAGTGTCAAATGGCCGAGGTGCTGCGTCACCTGCATGACGCGCATCAATAAATTGTAAAATGTCAATCGAGGGCACATGAGTCTGTGTCGGGGCCTGGTTCGAGCTCTGACTTTTTCGCTTTGGTAAACAACTGCCGAGTGAGCGCGGAATCACGTGAACAGGACGCGGTACCTATGATGCAGAGCGAAACTGCCTTGGCAAAAGTGCCTTGGCAGAAGGTTGGTGTCGATTTTTGCCAAATGGACGTTGCGGACTACTTGGTAGTTGTCTACTGCCTGTCTCGATGCCCACAGCTAGCCCGCCTCACATGAATCACCAGTGTCATTGCAATCACAACATGCTTTTTTTTAAATTAGATGGACATTTCCAGATGGACAATCGTGTATATTTGTCCTCGCTGTAGTCCACTTTTCTTCTGTCCTAAACGCCACCTCTTCCTATTTTTTTCTAGGTGAAGCACTTTATTATCTCTGTCCTCCCGAACCTATATTGTGCCTTCCGCATCATGTGCCCTATTTCCTATCTCCCCCCCCCCCCCCCTTAAAAAAAAAAAAAAATTAATCTTGATGTTTTTAGGCCGGACATTTTTGTTCACCCCATACGTGAAACCCTTATCTGCTATGCTTGTTTCAGTGCCCGGGTGCCCCATCCAACCCGTTTCATAACCTCCTACCGTCGTTCCTTTCTGTTTGAACTATGAACCCGTCCCGTCGGGCGCTCACCCATATACGGGTCTACGAACCTCATACCGTCACCACCTTTTGTTTAATACAGAAACCCTTACCTGAGTTTTGTATAATTATACCCCCCCCCCCCCCCCCCCCCCCAAACTAGGATTTAATTGCAACGCCATTCTCGATTCCGACCGGACCCCGGCCGAAACGTTGAAGTAAATCCGCCTGTCGTTTTTTTTTACGAAGGTTCTCTCTCTCTCTCTGTCTATACTTATATACATACATATATGTATATATATATGAGTGGCTACGTGTTCACAAAACACGTATGTCGAAATCCCCGCTGCCAATTCCCCGCGTTACCTCCCCTATCTTCAATATCCCCTACCTTTCCCATCCTCAATATTTCCGACTTTCAGAACACCCTTTGCACCTATCTCCTTATCAGTACTCCCGCCTTTCCCCCCAACTCTCGTTAAAGGGGAACTCCGCCGATATTTTGAGCTACCTAATCCAAAGGCATCGTCTGAATGCGGATGGCTTCCTGATTCCGAAATGCTGTCTCGTTCCTCCAGATTCACTCGAGCTAATTAAAAAGTTATATTTTGTTCGCTGCCGAAACCAATGCATACTCCTTTCCAGTTTTTTCCTATTTTTCCCAGACATCCAAAAATGATGTCACCAACGGCTAGCGAGGGGCGCTGCCGGCAATCGTGTACGCTCGCGCAATCCTTTCTCACGTCAATCAGCGACAAAATGGGGGCGTTTGTGCTATCTGAAGTTGATGATAGTCTCTAGTTGCACAAAGTGCTACCTTGGCCTACGTGCACAACTCTGAGAAAGTAAACGTTTTTTCAACCCGGTACGTTCAAGCCGCGGCTCGCTAGTTTAGTGAAATAGCTAGCAAAACCTTCTCTTTTTACCAGAAGCTGGCTGGCAAAGAAAGGTCGAAGAGTCACGCAATACATTTTTTGACAAATTACCGAGGCACCACGGAAAATGCTCGGAATGAGGGTGCAGGTGCCGCAGACTCTCGTATTACCTAAAGGAACGTGTCATTTGCTTTAGACTTTATTTAGAAAAGTTACTGTTGCAGGCGCCAGCACGTGTAACTAACTACTCTTGTGGCATGCGTATGCTTCTTGGTGCTTAAGTAATTTAGAAAAAGATCTAGAGACCATTTCAGAAAAACGCTTCTTCTCTGTGCCAGTTTCAGCATTCGTGCGTGTAGCGCGTACTTTTCCCGCCTTCCAAGCGGCGAACATGCGCGTGCTGGGCTGTGACCTAATACACGTAGACTGTGATTCTCGTAAACAACGAAATGTATAGAATGGAATGAACTGCATTCGTGTAGCCCAGGTGGTCTACACGTTATTTATTTATTTATTTATTTAGTACATACTGCGGACCTTTCGAGGTCCAAGCAGGGTGGGCGGAAAACATAAATAACGCTACAAAAAACAATGGTTTCACAGAAACAAGAAAACAATGGTAGAAAAACTGCTGCACAGAAATACAGGATATACACAATATACATACATCAAAATCTAGTATATTACAAAGTTATAACAATGACCCATCAAAATATACAATGACAAATATAACAGTGAAACTACAAAGCTGAAAGCTCCATCAAAATATGCATTGACAAAAAGACTACAATGAAACTATAAAGCAGCGAGGGTCACTGGGATAGATAAAAGGATTCCAATGATGATGCAAAATCAGGTGATGAAAACAGTTCCATGGGCAATGAATTCCACTCGTTTATTGTTCTTGGGAAATATGAAAACTTAAATGTATTAGTACGTGAGAAATAGGGCGTTAAAGAGTAGCTGTGATTGTGTCTTGTTTGCCTGGTTGGTAGTGGACTGACGTAAGAACAGGAATTTAGAGAAATCTTAGAATTGACAAATTGGTGTAAAAACTTTAAACGGGCAACCTTACGTCGGTGTTGGAGGGTAGGTATATTGTGTTAAATATTGTGTTAAATATCCTGTTAAAATGACAATTAAAAGAACTCTGCAACCACCAAGCCTAACACCAAGGTGCAATGGAATTAGTATCAGAGGCACAAATAGACTGTTCATCTCCAAATAAAGAATATTTGCTCGAAGATACAATAGTGCATGAGGTACTGAAATGCACCATAAAACTTGTCATTCAAAATAAGTTAATACAATTTACCCAAAGGAAAATATGTACCCGCATTTCTCTCTCTTTTTTTTTCTTCTTTTACATAAACTCTGCAAAAGTTTATGCAAAACTAAAAAGGGAGCGGTGAAATCGTTGCTATCTAGGACCTTGAGGTCGAAGATTTTCACACATTTAAGATACTTTCTACAGTAAATGTTACCCGGTCAAGGTCAAGACGCAGGAGGTGGAGGTTGAATAATAGCAGAGGTGCATTAATAAATGCCAAAAAGTAATCTGCAGACAACGAAAATGAAGGATTTAAAATACGACTCTTTATTTTAGTAATAACCAATGAAAAATTACGAGCTCGAATGACCACGCATCGAATATTCCGTGTGCCGAAAAGTCTGTGTGCCGACGTGCATTACACTGAAAAGCCATACTGATCCGATCACCGAAACGTCCGTGCACCGCGAGACAGGTGACGAAACCATCCGCAGGTGTAGAGCGGGGGAATCGGGCACGAGGGTGAGCGAGACGGAGATTTTGACAACGGGGAATTTGACACTCGGAAAAATGTCATGGGGTATTTGGAACGAAGGGAATTGACATGCGGATAGTATATATATTTATACTATTCGTGATATTATGTTATGGAGTTTAAGAACGAAGTGGCAATCCTGCTTCGTTGGCTAAGCTAACTTATATATTAATAAATGGTCAGTTTTTATTCGCACGCGAACATCTTAATTCTCAAGATTTTAACATCATGATCAACCTACACCGGCTCGCCTGCACCTTGACAATTTTTTCGTTTATCTTCATATACCGATGTTTATTGCGCTTGAAGCTTGCGCGCACGAGGTGTGAACCGGAGCTTTTGAGACACCGGTGAGTTAAAAGTGATGCAGTCACTGCTAAGATCAATCTTCTTTCCTTCTTCTGGAAGTATGACAAACTTTTGAAGCAGGACGGTCAGGAACATGAAGAGAGTGACGGAAGATACTTTCTCAGCGGGACACATCCGCTTTCCTGAAATAAGACAGGAAAAATCCACACTGTAATCTGTATGTATGTGTATATTAACACAGAAAAAAAAAAGAAGGCCTGCGATTTGCTCATGCGGTGAAGAGTACCTATTTCGTAGAACATAGATGAATGCTTATACGCCTGTCATTACGCAGTGTTCTGTTTTAAAAAGCAAGTTTTTACAGAGTGATGGCTGTTGTGATTTAGGAATAGCTGGAATATCTTTTTTATTAATAAATACCATCTGCCATGTCGACTACCTTTTCGGAGTTGCGTATTTACTTCTGAATAAATATATTCTACTCACGATAAATAGCCTCGTGGAGTGAAGTGGTGATTGCACCCGCGACTTCACCATTATGTTTGAAGAACCGTCGTAAGTTTGTTTAAACCCTCGGAACAATAATAATTTTGTGTTGAATAAATGGAGATGACAACTGAAAGCATGGGTTTATATGTATCCTCGCCGCCTCCAAAATGCGGTAACAGTTCAAATTTGTAAACCGGATATAAATTGGTACCTAGATATTCTAAAAGTATAAACTGAAAACGTTATTTACCAACATCCAAAAATTAGGTGACCACGTGCGAACGTCTGCACTACTGAGTTTGCTTTCTCATTGAATTCCATTGCAATTTTAGCAGTGACCATTAACTACATCCGCTACCCACAAAATTCATCGTATTTAAAAAAAGTAGACAAGCATTTATTTACCAACTGAAAACGGAATGAGATATTTAGGAGCGGCGATCAGCTGGCCATTTTCCAAAAACCGTGATGGATTAAATTTCTCGGGATTGTCCCAAAGATTGGGATCCACGTGGACTGCCCAGATGTTGGCCATGACAATTGTGTCCTTGGGTATCACGTAGCTTCCAACGCTGACATCTTCTCCTGCACTGAAACAAATATTGCAGATTCTCAACAACCATCTAGCTATTTGTTATACTCTATGCGTATGTTATAAGCTTTAAAACTGTAAGAACTACAGGATTTGTATTTTCTTCTATTTAATTGAGAAATAATACTGAACACCAACCAGGCTTTGCAAAGAAAGGTCTTTAAAGCTTAGAATTAATAAAACCTCAGAGAATCAAAAAATATTGTGACGTTTCCTGCTCATAAAACCGAATGTTTTAAATATCAATATTTTTTGTTTTCCATGTAAGCAAAAGGCCTGAGCAAGCAGATTTTTCTCGGCTGCGTTACAGTAGCATTCAGGTCCCGAATTCCGCCCCTTGTGAAATAATGTGTTTTTTGTATCATGAACCATCACATTTCCGCCCCCCCCTTCCCCCCTCCCCCCCCCCCCCCTCCCTCAAAAAAAGATATATCTATATATTGTTTAAAATATGCAAGTTTTGAATCGGATGTGCTGTTCAAAATGAAATTTGTGAGTTTTATTTTTAACAAGCTCTGCACACACACCACGAGCGCGTAAACGTTGTTCTTCTCACATATACTTAATTGTTTTGTGATCGTGTTGTATCAGTTACGTTTAATACTTCTGCAACTGCGTTTCCTTACGATAACGCCACTGATACATTTCTCACTGCCCACTGTTCCCTTATCATTTTGCCCAACCCTGAATCTCTCGTTACTCGGTCTTTTCCCTTGCAGCTCCCATACATCCAATCCATAAAGGAGGCATTTATTCCCAGGAACCAAATAAAACACAAGAATGAATGTTTTTAATTTTTTTTATGAAAAAAAAAATTAAACGCATTATGCAACGTGGGTACGGATGTGGGGAAAATCGGGATCAAAGTAGTGATGCGTACGATTTGGTTTATGTTAAACATAAATGTGCACGTATAGCGCTAAAAAAACAAGGAGCAAATTGTTAAGGTCAAACGGTTTGATGAGCAAACGAAAGGGAGCGCGAACATGACTTTTCTCTTTGATCAATGTCAGGATAATATCTACCTCGCCACTTTTTGGTTTGCAAATGTTATGCTTTGTTTCAGCTTTCGTCCGAGCGTAGCCGATGTTATGAGCCGAAGGGCCAATCAAACAGCGAAAGAGGCACAAGGTCATGGCGTGCTCTCGGCAGTTGATAGGACCGGCCGGTATTCGCCGTCTCTCCGTGCGTGCTCCTCCGCCGACTAGTCCTATCAAGCACAGAGAGCACGCCATGACGTTGCGCCTTTTGCGCTGTTTGATTAGCCCTTCGGCTCATAACATCGGCCGCGCTCGGACCTAAGTTGAAACGAAGTATAGTGAAGCTTCGAAGACATCACCATCATTCGTACAAATGCGGAACAAATAGGCAGAAAACTGTTAGAATTTAACTCAATAAAAAATAAAACGTATAAGGTAACTACATCAGCCAAACATCTTTCTATTTACAAATGATAGCCATCATGGGCACGTGCGAATTCCCTGACAACGTTTTAATACGTTAGCGTTAGAACGCTTGTATTGACAAAAACCCGGTGGTGTCTTTCCTTTGTCATCGCCGGAGAAAGAGGGAGAAGCAGGGGGAAAGGGTTGCGCGTGCGACGCTCCAATTGGTCCGAACTGCTGACGTCAGCTTGCTTCTACCTCTCCCTCCTTCTCCGGCGTTGAAGAATTGACCAACACCGTCCGGCATTTTGTCAAATCTCATTCTCTTTGAGAGCGCAGATCTTAGGCGCCCGTTTCCGGCTTGAGTGGCGTCGGCGTCGCCGTCGGCGTAACTGCGCGGTGCATTATGGGTAAATTTTCTCGCTAAATCTAGCAGAAAAATTTCCCCGCTAAATTTAGCGGAAAAATTTCCCCGCTAAATCTAGCGGAAAAATTTCCCCGCTAGATCTAGCGGAAAAATTTCCCCGCTAAATCTAGCGGAAAAAATTCCCCCGCTAAATCTAGCGGAAAAAATTCCCCCGCTAAATCTAGCGGAAAAATTCCCCCGCTAAATTTAGCGAAAAAATTTTCCCGCTAAATTTAGCGCAAAAATTTCTCCGCTAGATCTAGCGGAAAAATATCCCCGCTAAATCTAGCGGAAAAAATTTCCCCGCTAAATCTAGCGTAAAATGTCCCCCCTAAGTCTTGCGAGGAAATTTTGGTCACGTGACCGGGGGGGTCACGTGACCTGGGGAGTCACGTGAACCGCCCCCTAGGTCACGTGACACCCCCAGGGCACGTGACACCCCCAGGGCACCCCCTCCCGAGATCACGTGACTCCCTCCCGAGGTCACGTGACCCTTTCCTTTATGTCACGTGACCCCTCCCCCCGCCCCCAGAACACGTGGCCCTCAGCACCCTTCCCTCCTCCTCAAGAGCTGCGCTCCAATTCGGCGTTACAGGGAGTTGTAAAAGGCTTTCACTTTTTTTAAAGTCACGCGTACAGCTCGCGCGGAGCAAGAGAGGAGGAGGTGCTGCGCAACACCTTCCCGGACGAGAGGAGGAGGCGCTCCGCAAAACCTTGATAACAAAGCTGCAGTGCTGAATGAGATAGCGTCACCATAGAGGACCATCGCTGGAGACATATAGGAAACGAGTGCTGCGTACGCGCTCGGGCTTCGAGTGAAGTTTCAGCGGAACGTTGACGCAAACGTCGTGACCAAAACTTTGCCCAGCGTTGGCCTCTTCTGATGACGCCATCTCTTTCAGCACTACGGCTTTGTTTCCGCTCTGCCGTCGCCGGTTGTTCTTCACTCTGAGTTTCTGTAGTAGTAGTTCGTGGGCTGTGATGTGTGTGTGTGAGTGAAAACGAGGGATTCGGTTCACCCCACGAGTGATATTGATGCAGTTCCTTCCACGCGTGGTATGGATGTGGTTCCTTCCACGAGTGATACGGATGACCTATCAAGGACGTCGACGTACTCTGACAGGCAGAGTACAAGAAAGGAGCGAAAAATTACAGGAAGGTCCATCGGTAAATTTTCAAGGAATTCGTTAGCATGACCCTTGTGAAACGCCACACACGTCCGTATTTTGGAAATGGTAACACTGACCCCGTAACGAGACCAAACAAGCAGCAAAAAATAGAGGAAGCAAAATAAAAAAAAAGCCAAAAGAGAAAAGTTGAGGAGTCAGCGTTAGCCTTTTCCAGGGGGGAAGTGTGTTACGCTCCCGACAGTCATGCTACCGCATTCCCAAAGAATCCACCAATGAATCTTTCTGTATTTTTATTTATTTTTTACACAACGCTCTCAAGGCCTCAATATTTACTCCCTTGGTTTACTGTTTTCTCTAAATACTGGTTCTAAATTAGAAATTGTGAGTTTTTTCCGCGCTCTTCCATCTCTCCTTGCACGCTTTGTATAGATATATCGTTATGTAGTCAGGACACCAAAATAGGTTTGTCATGGCATAATGTCGAAAAAAAAATCTCGAAGATAAATGTTTAAGGGTCTAATGCGCTGAACAAGTTCACAAAAAGAAACGCTACGCAAAAGTTATCACCTCGTTCGTTGTACTTAAATCAATGCTTGTGACGACTTGACGTGAAGTTCATGGTGGGGTGTTTGAATTCCATTTAGCGGCTGCTCCGTTAAGATATATAACATATTATTTGAGCTTCCCATTACGTATTTTGGACAATAAATAAATCTGTTCTTGTACCATATATTTCTTCAGAATCCACCTGCCGAACATTGTTACCCTAATATGGAAATAAAATTAATCTTTGTTTCTTAAGTATTTATATTTAGCACCCATGAAGCTAGGGCTTTATCATCTATTTATTTCTAAGATCAGGCAGATGAATTCAGCTATATTTGTGTAGTTCCCTGCACTTTACTATTATTTTTAGCTTTTCAAATATATATTTATATATATTGTGAGGGTGTTTAATGAGGTTTTTACAATCGTGATGAATGACAAAAAGGGCGCAGTTTCGACGGTTGAGTGTAGTCCGAATCTCTGCCTCAGTCGACCCGGCGCGTGCCTTGCTCCCGTGCCGACACTTCTTTATCTTCCTCACAATACCCCCGGGGGGCTGGAGTGCCGGCCATCAGGCGCGTTGGCGTTGGGAGTCTGGTTTATGTATGGCGATAGTAGCGAATCATACGAGCCACATGGAAAACGTCCGTGGATCTGGAGCGACGGTTACGGGGAGGCCTGACTGGGACGACCTTGTAGTTCGTACCAGAAAGGAGGCTGACTACCCCATAATGGCCCGAAAAACTTCTGCATCAGTTTCGCCGATCGGCCTAGTTGGCGGAGAGGGACTGCAAGTAAAACCTCGTCACCGAGGTTGTACGAGACGTTAGTATGACTCTATGCATGACGGGCGATTCGACGGACATCTTCAGCTCGACCACCGACATCGGTAGTGTAGGCATCCTTAGAGGGGTCGGGTGCATATCGCGAAATTGTGTCCAAAGTTGTCAGGGGATCACGGGCGTACAAAAGGTAATATGGTAAAATCCTGCGGTAGCTTGGTGTGCGATATTATAGGCGTGAGTGACAAAGGGTAAGACGGTGACCCAGTTGGTGTGGCTCTCGGTAGCGTACCTTAAAAGCATGGTAGCTAAAGTGGTGTTTAGACGCTCCGTGAGTCCGTTAGTTTGAGGATGCTAGGTGCTCGTTACGTTGTGAATGGTAATAGCTAGAAGAAGAACCTCCGCAAGAACCTTTAAAAGGAACGGGGCGCCACGGTCACTGACGATAGCCTGTGGAGCGCCATGGTAAACAATAAAGTGGAGAAAGAAGTCGGCCAGTTCTTGTGCGCAGGCGGTGGAAGGGAAAGGTGCTTAAAAGTCGATACCGATACGTTGAAAAATGTTTTAAGGGGCGGTATAGGTCGTAGAGGGCCGGGTGGTGAGGTGATGGGGCTTTAGCTTGTCTGGCAGAGGTGGCATCCGCGTACCTATTTACTAATGGTTCGATGCATCCCATTCCAGAAGAAGGGGTTGCGAACTCTAAGGTATGTCTTCGAAAAGCCAAGGTGGCCAGCAGTAGGGTCATCATGGTTGGCCCTCAGCATGTCTTGTTGTAGATTGCGAGGAACAGCGAGAAGCCACGGACGTCCATGAGGTTCGTAATTATTAAATATAGGATTCCGTTAAGAAGAGTGAAAAGGCATGTGCGCCGCTCCACGCGTCGAGCGGGCTGGGGGAGCGCACCTTGGAGGTAGCGGACGATGGGCTCTAATGTCGGATCGGACTGTTGAGCCTCGACGATGTCCACGTGGTTGAGGGTGGCTGTGGTATTTAGGTGGTGTATGGGATGCTGAGGGGCAGACACAGCGGGGAGTGGGTATCGTGAGAATCCATCTGCGTCTAGGTGTCGCTTCCCCGATTTATAGATGACAATAAAGTCGTATTCCTCTAGCTTTAGTGAGCAACGACCGAGACGGCCTGATGTATCTTTAAGTACAGCAAGCCAACAGAGGGCATGATGGTCAGTGACAATGCAGAAGTCGACACCATATAAGTAGGGGCGAAATTTCGAGATCGGCCACACGACCGCAAGGCATTCACGTTCTTTGATAGTATAGTTCCGTTCCGCTTTTGTAAGGGTACGGCCTGCGTAAGCGACGACCTGTTCTTTACCGTGGACGTTTTATGCAAGAACTGCGCCAAGGCCGTGCCCATTTGCATCTCTACATAACTTTGCGCTGTCACCCTGGATGAAGTGGCCAAGGACAGGAAAAAACATAATCCCAGACTTGAGAATCTGGAAGGCCTTAGATTGGGAAGGGCTCCATTCAAACTTAGCGTTGCTGCGAAGCAGCATGTGTAGAGGCTGGGCAGTATGTGAAAATCCAGAGATGAATCGTCAAAAATAAGTACAAAGTTCGAGAAAAGCACGAACCTCTTTAAGTACCTTTGGTTAGGGAAAGTCAGAAACAGCCTAGATCTTGCTAGGGTCTGAGCGTATTCCATCGGGACTAACGAGGTGGCCAAGAAATTTGATTTGCTTCGCTCCAAATACGCACTTGCTTGAATTTAGTTGCAATGCAGAATTGATGAAGCAGTCGAATACCTGTCGTAGTCGATGCAAGAGTTAGTCGAATGTCGTCGAAAATACAACAGTGTCGTCAAGATAGCATAAGCACACATCCCAAGTAACACCACGAAGGAGGGTGTCCATCATTCTTTCGAAGTATGCTGGGGCTTTACAGAGTCAGAAAGGCATAATATTGAAGTGATAGAGGCCACTAGGGGTAATGAATGCGGTTTTAGGCTTGTCGGCGTTGGCTACAAGTATTTGCCAGTAGCCACTTTTGAGGTCTGTGGACGAAAAGAAGCGAGATCCTTGAAGAGCATCAAGCGTGATATAAATTCAAGGCAGGGTATAAGCGTCCTTTCGTATTACACTGTTGAGGCGTCGATAATCCATGCAGAATGGCCATGATCTGCCTTATCTCTTCACCAGTACCACTGAGGGGGGGGGGGGGGGGGGGACCATTGGCTAGACGAAAGTTTGATGTCTTTCTTCTGGAGCATACCTGTGATGTGCTGTTGTATAACGGCACGCTCTGCAGGCGAAACTCTGTAGGGTCGACTTTTTACTGGGGAGGCGAAAACGGTGTGGATAGTGTGACGTACGAAGGAGGTTGTCGGAAGGGTATTGTTCTGTAAGTCGAACAAAGTCTCGTACGTTCCTAGGAGGTGGGTCAGGGCTTTCTGTTGTTCAACTGGGAGGTTCGGGTCGATCATGTTTCTAATGCGGTGAGAAGGATCTTGAGTGGAAGGAAGGCGGGATGGGGTATAGGAAACACCGTTAGACAATGAAGCGATGTTGTCTTCCTGATATATCCTGAACTCAGCAACATGGCTTCCTAGTGTAATAATTTCTTGTTGGCGAGAAACATTTGTAATGCAGAGATTAACTTGGTCTTGTCTTATGGTGACAATAAAGGGCACATCAATCCCATTTTTGGTGAAGAGGGATAAGGATGGTTCGACAAGGCCGGAGGTTTCTGGAAATTGTTGATCAGCCGTAAGTTCTGCGAAACTGACAGATAACGGAGGCTGGAACACGTCCTGGATTGCGCGCAAGCTAACGGCGGGATACTCTGTTAACTCGACAAGAGGTTAAAAAAAAAGTAAGGTGTAACTCGCGGCTGGCGCAATAAATCAGGGCGTCTGTTGATGCCAGAAAGTCCCATCCTAAAATGACATCCGCTGCACAGTCCGGAATTACGGTATAACAAGTTTTAACGAGGAGGACTGAGTGGGTTGCACATCCTAGTGATTGACAAATAGTTCCATTTTCTAAACGCAGGAAATGCGCACGTGATGGAGTTAGAACGGCATGCAAACGTCGGCGGATGCCTTCAGAAATACAGGATGTAGCAGCCCCGACGTACACCAAAGCAAAAATTGTTTTGCCGACAATTTTGACGTTAACGGTCGTAGGTACAAGAGCTGGAGGATTTACCGCAAAATGCGATATTGCAGCCTGACATCGGGTTTGGCTGCCGGCTGCCTCGCTTAGTTTGACGTCAGGGTGGGAGTGGTAGCGTTGTTGAACGACGAAACTGAACGGCGACGGGTGGGTTATGGGGAAGGCGATCTCCTGCGGCGGTTTCCAGCTGTCAAAAGCAGACTTTCATCGCGGCGGTTGTTGAAAGTGTTGGTCTCGTTGAAGTAGTGAGACGGCGTTCCACAGGAAAAAGGTTCTTGGCTAATCCGGCGGCAAGAATAGCGGGCGACGTGTCCAGGAACGCGGCAGTAGAAACATATTGGCCGGCTGTCTTCTGTTCGCCAGAGATCAGCTCGGCGCTAAGCTCGGCGCTGCAGTCCGTAGAAGCGGCAAGGGGATGGCTCGTGCGTGTTGAAAGGGGAGGTGCAGCGCTGATGCATCGGCTGGATAGAGCAGAGAGGGGAGAACGCTGGTGTGGCAGGTGAAGCAGGTGCGCAGGCACACGGACCCGAGTTGGGCGGCTGCAAAGCTGCCCAAAGTTCTTTTTGCACCACTTTTTAATGGTTTCTGGCTCAATGGCACATCCGGAGGCGTCGTCAGTCAAGCTTGATGGGTTAAAGTATCTCAATAGTTCGTCGCGGATGATTGTGCGGATGAGTTGCGGGAGGTTCATGGGTGAAACGGGGCGAAGGGAAACTTCAGTAAGGTGTTCGAAAGGCGGCTTGTTGATCGAGCTCTGCATCTCTTCTTATGCTTTACACTCTGATATGAGCCGCTGTACCATCGAAACGATTTCGGGCTACCAAAAAAACAAACAAGAAAAGAAAAAAGAAAACGTTCCTGGGACAGACCTTTAAATAAGTGTCGGATCTTATCCTCCTCGGACATTCGCTCATCAACTTGTCGGCAGAGGCGAAGGACGCCTTCGATGTAACTTGTGGAAGTCTCGATTGCAGCTTGGCAGCGGTGTGACAGCTTTGCTTTTGCCTGTTGTTTGCGGCTCTTCGGCTTGCGGAGCGCTCCTGAAAATGATGTTTTGAAGCCATCCCACGTGTTAATGTCGTCTTCGTGGTTTTCAAACCACTGAAAAAAGCTGTGTCCTTTAGAAAAAAAAAATAAAAAAAAAAACAGCACGTTTGCCAGCTTATGGGAATTATCCCCATGGTTATGGGCGCTTACGTGGTCGTAGTATTTCAGCCAGTCATCGCCGTCGCCTAGGTGGATGGGGAATCCACTGAAGGTTGGAGGGTCCCGCTGGCGGTTCTTCACGTAGTTAGGAAGCGTCCGTAAGGGTTCACTTAATGTAGTTTGTTGTTCATCTGGCATGGCAACGATAGTAGGACGCCCGCTTCGAAGGTCCAAAGCATGCCTTGCGGTAGCCGACCACAAAAGGTAGGGGAGCTTAAGCACTTGTGAAGGTGTTTAATGAGGTTTTTACAATAGTAATGAATGACCAAAAGGGAACAGTTCCGACGGTTGAGTGTAGTCCAAATATCTGCCTCGGTCGACCCGGCGCGTGCCTTGCTCCCGTGCCGACACTCCTCCGTTATCTTTGTCACTATATATATATATATATATATATATATATATATATATATATATATATATATATTTTGCCGTTTTAAGAAGAACTTATTTGCACTGGAAAACAATTGAGATAACCTCAACAGCCTTTTGCATGTATTGGGAAAAAATAACTAAAGCTAAGCGAACTATGGATTGACTGCAGAAACGTATAGTGCATAAATTTTCTTCTCTTGTTGGTTTATCGCTTGCTGATGTGTAAATAAGAACACAATTTAACATGGCTGTTCAATATTGAAAACTGCTGCTGCCAAGCGCTGTATAGCATATTATTAAATAGGGTGCAATGCACTGTGCCTGTACCTTTTACAAACATCCGGGGAAAGAAAGACTTTAGGAAACAATTTTAGGGCTGTGCGAATAGTGGTTTGAATCGAATAGCGCTGCGTCATCCATAGCCTTGACAATGCAAGGGAAAGCCAAGACGACCCGTTCTTTTAACAGTGCAGAAGCTAGGGATGACGCTGCGCTATTCGATTTGAACCACTATTCGCACACCCCTAGAAACAATATAATCAAACATTTAAATGCTTGAATTACCTTCTGGGTATGCCAACAGGAACGGCGGTTCTCCAACGGTGCACTTCGCGGATGAAGGCCATTACAAAAGGCATCTGGTAGCGGTCTTCCCACTGTGGCTGTCGCGCGAAGCCAACAACCCGATCTATTTCCTCTTGCATCCTTTTTTGGGTCGTACCCGGATTCGCAGCACAAATCAAAAGATTCCAGGCCAGACTACGGTTGACCGAGTTGGTGCCGCCTCCGAACATGTTGAGAACGTTCCCTGGAAGGTAGTCACCTGGAGGAAACAAAATAAACTCAGTTACAGCGACAAAAAAAAAAAAAAAATTTAAGTGGTCCTCATCATTCTGTAAATCCTAGGAGAACAAAATATGTCGTGCGTGCAATACCCGTGCGTTGTGATTTGCAATGGCCGGTTACAAAATGCCTTAAGTTGTTTATAATTTATTGCGCACACAACACGCTCATGTGCCATCCCTCGGTCTAAAAACAAGACGCAAAATAAATATATATTTATTTAGAAATGGTGTGTGTGAAGAGCATGCTTTAATGATAAGTTGTTATGGGTTCTGCTTCTTCCGAGGAAATGGGTAGTTATTAGGTTTCTTAAATTACAGTAGCGCCCTGATGGCGTTTAAAGTATACTCTAAGAAAACACTGGACGTAGAAGAATTCTTAGGTTTTCTTCGCGGCTTGTCCATACTTTGCACCCTAACTTTTTTTTTAAGTACCCCCAAAAGGGTTTTTATGAAAAACCTGTAAGTTTTTTTTAGGCTCCTTGTTTTGATAAGAAAAACACATTTTTCATCGCCCAGTTGCCTTTTAGTGCTCCATGGGGCGATAGTGATTGAGGCGAAACAGTTCTGCAGCAGCTGAAAGAGTTCTTTGGGCTTCGAAGTATCTTTCAACGTACTTGTTTTAAAGTGTAGTTGCGAGGGGAGTAGGTTTATCAAAAGCTTCTTGATAAAATTCACGCCTAACCGTTCTTCCAAATACAAGAAAAAAAAGATTCTTGTGTGAACACGTCACACATGTACATTGAGCGAGCGCTACACCGGTGTTAGCCCTTCCAAAGGTCACTCAATTCAATGCAGCGCCGCCATGTGCTTCCCGGAGTTGCAGGAGGTGCGGGTCTCGCGCACTGGCCCATTTAATGCTAGTTGCAGGACGAACACAAAGACATAAAGTGACTTTATATTTATCGCGGGGCTTTAGGTTTATCGCTCCCGCTATGCTATAAATTGGCTGCTGCGCAAAGTTTATTTCTTTTTTTACTTCATTCGCGGATGAGTTATTTCACGGTGCATTACGAATCTTCGATCAGCCCTGTGACGTTATGAGATCACGTGGGGAGTGCGATTCGTTATTCAGTTCAGGAGCCAACGTTATTAGATTAATTCAGTTACGCAACTGCCCATAGACGCTGCATGCACCAGCAGTACCCCCCCCCCCCCCCCCCCCCTTCTCACTCACCACAACTTGCCTCCCTTCGTTTGACGCGCCGGACGTCTGCTTTGGTAACTGCAGTCTATTCTGTGGGATACGTACGTACGTTTCGAAGCGCAGCGTCTAGGTGGCGTTCCACCGTACTCTATGGGACACACGGTTCGTAAATGAAAATCAAGATGGCGCTTCGAATGACGGGAGGCGGACTGAAGTGGGTGAGGGGGGTACCCCCTTCCGCGGGAGTTCCACAACTGAGGTAATCTAGTAACGTTGTCAAAATCAACTTGCGCGCGCCGATGGTGGCTTGTCCAAACAGGCTTCCGTGAGTCATACTTGGATCCTGCTCGTTGTGCTCCCTTTCATCTCCTCTCTATGGCACCCACCAAAGGCATCGGGCTACGGCTGACACAATCCGGGATTCGATTCGCACTGAGCCACGTGGTAAATCGCGCTTGTTAGAGTTAGTAACGCCCAATAATGATTACGTGTATGTGGTTAATCGTTTAACACTCCTTTTGCTAGTACAAATGTATTGCATGCTGCAAGCGAAGTATAGTGTATGTCGCCTTCGACTAGCGCGTAACGCCTTTTTGTGACACTAAAACTTGATGATTTTCATATGAAATCTAGCCTGTGAACACATTCTGAGACAATGTAGGTGAACTGGCATATGATTATATTGAAGACACGCGCGAGAGACAAACTAAACCGAGAGAACGTCAAACTTAAATGCCCAACTTTTATACTGGTTCGTTTTTCTGCTTAGCTCTTCTTAGGCTCCATTACTCATCATAACTGAAAACAAAACTTCATAAAATGCAAAAAAAAAGAAACACAATTTGAAGCGCCGTTTGTGAGAGGTTTTGACTAAATCTTTGTTTTATCAGGCGTTGGTATTGTGGGCGAGCTGTTAGCTTAAAGGAACCCTCCAACGATTTTTGAGCGTTCGGTCTCTTTGGGTTATTTAGTATCCTGTGTGGTTTGGGCGACCTAAGAGAAATGAAAAGAACCGTAAAATAATAATGTATCGCATTTCAAATTGCCCAGGAAAGAAAAAAAAAACGCTTGCTGTGCGGGGGCACCAAGCAGTGTTGAACGCGCGTACTTTGTGACATCATATGCCATGAATTTTCCGATTGGCGAGAGCCGCTAAATATTTTGAAAGCAAAATAAGGCAGATAATTTCATAAACCTTCGTTATTCTTCAAAGAAGTCATTTTTATGTGGCGATTAAAGCTGGAAAGTGAAGATAAAAGTTTAATAACTTCGGAAAACAGCAAATAACAAAGACAACTCTTCTTCTACGCGCCCGCCTCCAAGCGGCGTAGCAGGGTGCGCAGGCGCACCAGCGCACTTTACGCTAGCAGATGACACGTGATACGAACGGACGGCGCGTACTGTATGCTGTATTGTGTGCTCTCGGGCAACCTGAAACAGTTAGGGTAGATGAGGAAAATTTTATTTGCTTTTAGTTGTTTACAATACCTTTTAGTGCATGAGCGAATGGCTGCGTCGGTAAAATTGCCCGTAAAAGCAGGCTCTCAGTGATAAGCGTGTAAAGGGCGGCCACCATACTTCAGGCTTCTTGGTCGGCTCCATTGAAGTGCACAGTGAGTGGTTGTGCCCGTACGCATCGACATGCGCTTGTTTCTTTTCATCGGCTGCCTTCAAAGGATCCGGTACAAAGACACTGGCTGAAAGTGAGCAGTGCTTCACCTCGTAGCGTGTTTTAAAATATGTCGGCCCCACGAAAGAGCGAAAAAATGACTCGACGAAGATTCGGTTCCAACTCTTCACCTTCATGTCTCACCGGCGTCAGCGTGCAAAAGGCGCAGCCTGGGAAGTTTATTCGCTGATATATTGAGAACCAGCTGTTTATGAGTTGTAATATCAGCTGTGGCATGCATGGTGGCATTCGCGCGCTTGAACCGTATGCTTGAGGCGACCGCTACAACCACTGGTTTCCCCGAATGTAGAGTTATTAATGTTCACTTCAGCCAGAAGCTTTTCTAGGTGTCGGGTATCCTCGAAGGTAACTCTGATCCCAGCGGCTGATAAAGCTCCCGCAGCACTATAATACGTCTACGGTTCAAGCGCTCGAACGAGACAGAAGCAAAACGCCCGCGCATCGGAAAGAAGAGATAACATTTGTAGAGATCTGGCTACCCTCCCCCGCGCCGACCCTCCGGACCCTAATTTCCAACTTCCGAGATGCGTCATGCCTCGGGGGACCGGCCATGTCCTCGCGTACCACAAGGTCCGGTTGGACCACTCCCCTAAGCCAAGTGACGTCACGGCACTGGCCTCCCAGAACAAAGGGGCGAAGGCTTGAAAAGGGAAGCCGGCCAAAGGAAGGCTCTCTCTCGGACGGCAGCTCTCTTGGACGGTGACGCTCGCTTGGACGGTGCAGCCCTCTAACGGCGGGACACGAAGTATGGTGCAGCGGTGACAAGAATACGAGGACGCTGGTGCGGGAATCGGCGGGGAGACGGACGATGGCGCGGGGAAAGTGCGGACAAGACGTTGAGTGGCAGACTCAACGAACGGACCGGACGGCGACCCTGGATGACGACGTCCCCATGATGCGGTGTGGACTACTACCGCTGGGAATTGGAGCAGCTGCAGCGGCAGCGGACTCTCCCCCGGCCTCGCTGATGACCGTCCCCCGATCCCGAAACGCCCCAGACAATAAGTAAATGAATAAACTCTTTCGCCGAGAGGGAAGTATTGCTGTGTCATATTCATCCGGAGATAGGGTTTGTGGGAATCGGAGCTAGAAGCCCACAGATTGTAACGTCGATAATGCCAGACGGAATTCTTACCGTACTAAGTTTTATTTAAGTTTACTTAAAGAACGTGTTCTCATGTTATTCCCGATTCCCGACTAATCACTACTGCCACTGGAATGCAACGATAATCTCCATAACCCTGGAAGTGCAATTTTAAAAATAACAAGGATGTATTACTTTCAACGTTTTACATTTGCGTACCACACACTAGTATCGGAGATACTTGATGAAATGCACAACATCCTCATAAAGGTGTTGTCCAATGGCGAGCAACTGATTAAACAAGGGAGAGATAGCAGTCAGCACTTTTCGCATCTTCGCCATTTGCCATTTAGCTAATTGAACAGCTCCCATTTCTTAATGTATGCCCATATCATCATAAAGCAGCAATGATACAAATTATCACTTTCTTAGCGTGATCCAGAGACAGAGATATTATTCGAGGAGCACACTGGAAAAGACCACTGTTTGGTACTCACTATTGTTAGTCTACAGTAGGAAGTCAATACCATCACACCAATCCCAGGCACACGCTGTCGCAACATCGAAATGTATCCCTCGCAGTTGTTGTCTGTAGATAACCTCACAGCCAGCATCACCAAAGTCGTGCCCGCTACTCTGGCATTCTCACTACTTGGCAACGTAACAACTGCCTTGCAGAAAGCTCTCGACGAAATTTAGGGGTCGGTGGCGACCTCCGAGTCTCATGAGGAAGGGTGCCAAAAGCCTTCTCGACGTCCGCCACAAGGATCTGTCGTTGCCGTTACAACTCGCTGGTCAACGCGCCCAGTACGTAGTCACGAAGCAGGGCCAAGCTGTCATGTATTCCTATGTACTTCCTGAATCGCATCTTGCCTGGGTGAAGAATAGATAATTCCCGTTCCTCGACGTTCTTCTCGACGATCCAATTTATGCTGGCAAGTACCTTGCGTTTGACTAACTTTCACAGAACTAATGCTAGCGAAATGCCCCAAATATTGCGTGCGCAGTCATGCTGTTTCCCCGGTTTGGGAATCGGGCTCACCCAGGACAATTTCCACAC